AAGTGTCTAACAAGTGGAAGAGGTAAACAGATAAGGACTTAAGAAATGTTTGCTGAGCAAACTCTGAAGTCGTATGACTAAACTGAAATGGTTATGATTATCCTCGTAATGTCATCCAGTTATTAATATCGCATAACTGTGTGACATTTAAAATAATAATTATTATTATATCTTTTACTTCCTGGAGGAAGATAGGGCTTCAGCCGTGCGTCTCCATTTCCTTCGGGTTTCTGCCAACTTTTTCACCCCGCTCCAAGTCTGCCCACATGCTTTCATCTCCTCTTCACATGACCTCCTCCAAGTCACCCCCCCCCCGTGGCACGACCAACTCGCCACTTCGCTTTCGAGTTCCACTCGAGCAATGGCTTGTCTAGTGATGTCACTTGATGGTTTCCTCAGAGTATGGCCAATCCAACTCCATTTCTTCTTCCTTATTTGTTTCACAATCGGTTCCTGATTGGTTTGCTCCCAGAGATCTTTGTTGCTGATCTTTTCTGACCATCTGATCTTGAGTATTGAGCGAAGACAACTGTTAATGAAGGTTTAAATGTTGTTTGAGTTGCTCTTTATGGTGCGCAGTGCAAGTCTCTGATCCGATTGGTGAGTAGCACTGACTTCACATTGGAGTTGAAAATTCGGACATTATTTTTGATGCTGAGTGCTGTTGACCTCCACACAGACTTGTGAGTAATGAAAGCTTGTCTTGCTTTTCCGATTCTGGTTTTGATATCCTCGTCAGTTCCGCCTGTAGTTGAGACGATTCTTCCCAGGTAGGTGAAGGAGGTTGTTTTTTTCAGGTTCCTCCCATTTCTGCTGGCTGATTATTGTCTGCTGCTACTCTTGATTTTGGCCAGGAATCTTCATCACCTACCTCTGTTTTATCTATGGGAAATCAGATATATATATCATTGGCTAAGTCCACATCCTCCAAGTTTTTGTGTGAGTTCATTTTATGCCTGTTTCCTCATTGCCGGTTGTCTGTCTCATTTTCCAACCTACTGCAATCAGGAAGATCATTGATGATAGAAGACAGCCTTGTCTCACTCGCGTCCTCACTTTACAGCATTCTGTAAGTTTCCCGTTGTGGATTACTTGGCATGCAGCATTGTTGTATAACTGTTTGATGAGATGTATAATTGTCGATGATACCCCTTGGTAGTAGAGAAGTAGATTCCAAATCACCTCTCGATCGACGCTGTCGAAGGCCTTTTCAAAGACGATCAATTTGAGTTAGAGAGGTAACTGCCATTCCAAGCTCTGTTCCATGATGATCCGTAGTGTGGCAATTTGATCAATACATGACTTGTTTCTCCTGAATCCGGCCTGTTCCGGACGAAGTTTTCCATCTAGGGCTTGTTCGATCCTCTCCAGGATGATGCGACTTAGTATCTTGCTTGATATGGACAGAAGCATAATTCCACGCCAGTTTTTACATTGACTTTAGTCTCCTTTCTTTGGTAGTTTGAATAAGTATCCGTTCTTCCAATCCTCGAGTACTTTGCCCTCTTTCCACACCTTCTCCAGCAGTGGCGTCATCAAGTTCGCTGTTGTCTCTGGGTCGATTTTCAATGCTTCTGCTCGGATTTTATCTGGTCCTGCTGCTTATCCAGCTTTTAGTATCTTGATTGCATTCAGGACTTCTGATTTCGTCGGGGGTCAGTGTTTTCTGGTAGTTCTGCTTCCGTTGTTGGTATTGTTGGGCGTGTTGTAGGTGGCGGACGATTTAGAATTCTTTTGAAGTGTTCAGCCCAGTGTTTTTTGCTCCTTTTGTTTGGTGATTGACCCTCTATTTTTGTCTTTTATTGGCATAATCTGTGTCGAACATTCGCCCGATAGTTGCCTAGTTGTTTGGCAGATTATGGCGAAGTCTCCTTTGCGTACAGCTTGTTCTGCTTCACTTTCCATGGTTTCATATTATTTTATTTTGTCTTCCCTGGCACTCTTCTTCACTCTTTTGTTCAGCGTATTGTAGCTTGCATTCAGTTCCTGTTTTTGTTGCTCGTCAGTGCACTGGATAGTCTTTTGTTTCACTGTCCTTCTCTCTTCTATTAGTTTTCAAGTGTCCGTAGTGAGCCACTGTTTGTCCTGTCTCTTCTTCCTGCCTAGAACTTCCATGAACGTTTGACCCCACACCGTTTTCAGGTTGTGCCACTGCTTTTCGACGCTGAACTTTTCGCCAGTGTTGATTTTTGTCTCGGCTTTGTCCTTTTGCTTGCAGTGAAGATGTCCTTTGTATCTTGGTCCTTCAGTTTTTGAGTGTTGAACTTGGCTTGTGGTCTATCTGCAGCTTCTGTTACCCTGAAAGCTTTTAATTTGATTTGGATTGTGCCTTGTAATATGGTAATACATACTACCTTAGTGGCCGAATTCTGTATACCCGCATTTCCTAACAAACTCACTGGTGATTTATTAGAATAATCTGAAATTTAAATACTTAGCTACACGCGTTGCTTCTCTTTAAAAACAACTCTCATGACGAAATTAGGGATTACACATCTGTGGTCAAATGCTTGCTGACAATTCGTAAATTACAAAACTAGGTGCTAACAACAGAAGCGGCTGAGTGGCCCTATCAGTGAAACAACATACTATCGTCAAAACGTCGTAGATACGTTTGTTGTTTGCAACGACATGAGTTAGGCATCCATATTATTTGATCGCATAACGAGATCCATCTAAAATCTAAATTCATTGTGGAACATGAATACAACGACAAGTTCAACTTCCTGGACCTAAAAGTAAAAAAATGAACAATGGAACAGTGAAAGATCCATCTGCAGAAAAGAAACCTGGACTAGACAGTATCTTTGTGGTGAGAGCAGCCTACTAGCCGATTGGTTGACATTAATCTACGTCAATGTCTAAAACACTAATATGGGCCATGAGAAAATTTGAACAAGGCTGTTTCAGCAACCAATCATAGCAAACTTAAACGTGGGCGAATAAGATTCGCAGATAGATGGCTCCACTTTCCGAGGAACTCGAAAACAACCAATCAGAAGACTGCGTTTGTCTACTTGACAAGGCTATAATAGTGTATGTGAAATTTATATAAATACGTGTTGATTTCGGTAATAAAACGATCTGTTACCTGGCCCTTGTCTTCTGTTGTTACATCTTCACTACAACAGCCTTTACCCTATGAGCTATAAGCGAGGATTAGTAAAAGCACTGTACGACAGGGCCAAAAGTTATGTTCGCCTAACAAGATGGAAGAAGAATTAAGGTTTGTTGGAAAATCCCTCAAGGAGAACGGGTATCCTAAATGATTTATCATAAAGTACAGCAAAGAAAGAAATGAGAAAGTGATGTATCCAACTGTTAAAGAGATGAAAACCTTCATTGGCCTACCACAGAAAAAAGTAGTGTCACAAGAGATTTAAAAGAGGAGGGAAGGAGCTATAAAATGGATGCGTCCCTACAGACAAGCTGATGACACTATACAGTACTACAAGCCAGTCGCAGCTGGATAAGTATATTGATAAGTACCCTCCAACTGCATTTATAAACCTACGTGCACATGTAGCAGTAAGCACATTGGAAAGTCAGAAAGGAGGGTTTCTATCTGGTTTTTATAGCATATTCCAGGAAGCGTGAGCTTAAAAGGAAGCAGATATTTACAAAGTGCAATTAACAGACACCTTTTGTATACGGGCCATTTCATTGAGGCTTCAGAATCCTTTAAAACAATAAACAAACAAAGGGCATGGAATCTACTACGATTTACTGAAGCAGTTGCAGTCAAAAATCTCAGACGAAAATTTGACACACACACAGTAAAAGAGTGTAGTCAATCTATCACTATCTTGGTAACCGTATTGCTTTCATTACAGTGATAAGTGGAACACTTTAGTGGGCTCAGGTCACTAGGCAAGTTTTCAATTTGATGAACTTCAACCTTCTTTATTTGCCATGTTGATGTAGAAGCTAACATTGTTTATTAGATTTTTCTGTCTTCTCCCAATCCTCTTTTTTTCATAGTTTGATAGTTTATAAATTGGTGGTAACTTAAACTAAAAAAATTGTAATACTTATATTTCGGATGTGTTCATTTCAAACATTGAAGTATGAAATGTTATTATTTATAACCATTAAAGTTTCAAGTAGTTTGCAGCTGATGAAAACCTGTCAAATAGAATAATCTCATTTTTATTCTGCAAATCTGATTTTGCTTTCTCTATCAAAATAAAAAAATTACTTAGTGTTTCAACTCAGCCATAAATGCTGGCACACAGGATGAGAAAAAAACCCTGACATCTGCAGTGACTTGTAATGAAGCTTCAGGCAATAAAAGGCAATACTGACAAGAAAACATGCTCACAGTAAGACATTCATTATTTCAAATCCGCTCTCTACATTAAGGTTTCTACTGTCTAATCCCGTTTTTAAAAAGGAAATAGCATGTAGAAATCTGTGAGCGAAAAAACTCAGCTTGTAAATAAAAATCGGAATACTAATCATTTTCAGGTGTAGTTAAATGTCAGTTAGTACCTCATGAATCAGGTAAAAATCAAATCTAACTGTGTTTTTGATGAAATTTGAAATTTATGGAATTTATTTTCTGTGGATTATGTTAGAACGAGTATTTTTATGACAATGGAGCAGTACATTTTTACGCTTATATTTGGAAAGCATAAGAGTATCCGACTGTTTCTATGATTGTTAAAATGTATTTGAAAAGAGAAGAAACGAATTTTTTCTAAACTAAGATTTATTAGATTCCTAAAGCAATAAAAAAGTAAATTAGATTCAAAGCATACTAATTTTAGAAAATCTCTATTTATAGAAATGAGTGTGTGTGTGACATTTCGTGTAACCGTCATGTGCCGACGCTGTACCTGAAAGTTTGAATAGTTGAATGGCGTGTTCGCCTGTGTATGTTTGACACGATATGAACCAATGAAACTGTGATGCTAGGGTATACATGAGTAGACAATAGGCAATAAATAACCGATCACTCATTTGTCTCATCCTGAATTCTTGTAGTTCTTCAGAGAGAAATGCGTACCAGAGTATGGTTCACTATCATCCCATCAATTCTGTTGTGTGAGTAACTTTTCATTCTGATAATGAATGGGTTGATCTTTTAAGAAAAATGTCGGAATTTTGTGATGAGTACAAAGTGTACAATAAACTGAATCTTTCAAATTCACATTATCTGATCACATTTATTTGTACCATGCATAAGGAGTAACACGTTCATAATTTGTTTTCAGATATCATGTATCTACCACAATGCGAATCAGGATTCTTCATATCGATTTTCTGTAAGTCATGCTAACGGATTTTAAAATTCATAAAACATAAATCTGTGCATTGATTATCATTGTTAAGCACTCTCTCTCTCCTATAATGTTAAACGTCTCCTAGATGGTATTGCATAAAAGGGATGGAAATTTCTATGAAATGTGTGGATGTTATCTTCGTACAAAATGTTACTTTGTTTTTCCCTCTATATGACAATATGTGCACACATGTGTATAGTACGGCTGTAGGAACTATCCCCCTCTATGAACCATTTCTCGGTAAACATTCATTTACGAAATGCTTCTTTCTTTAGGAACCATATTCACTCAATAAACTTTTCATACAAATTGTATTTATCAAAATAGAAGCCATTGTTACGATTCTCTGATTGACGTAGTTGGTTCGTTTAACTTCAAATAGTTTATATATGAAAGAATCGTATCTCATTTAATTGTATATCGATTTTGTGTGAACATCAACTTTCACACCAGCAACGAGTTTATTCATTCACCTGCCTGAAACCACAGTTACGTAAGCCGTACGTACATCATGATTTCTGTTTCCAGGGCTTTGATCACATACTGATGCTGATTATCGTTTTGCTAAATCCTCAGAAGTATGTTTCATCGGTAGTCACTGCATCAGTAGTGTGCAGTTAAACAGAAGACGTTTCCTTCAGAAGCAACCACTTTCAGTATTGACGTCATCTACAATCATATGAGAGAAAAGCATTTTGAACATGATCTGCATCCTGAATCGTGCCTACCACCTCCTGTTTACATATTTTTGACACTGCGATTTATGCAAAAAGATGTATTTTGCAATTTTAGTCCATTCTGATATCGAGTATTATCCTTTAACATTTACCAGGTTGGTTATTTTCACAGTGGTCAGCTTGTCGATGTAAGTATTTAACTTGTTTTTATAAATCTACTGCACGACTCCGAAATTTCGCTGATGGCTTGGACAATGAAGCTTTTCGTGTTACTATGCTACTTTAAATGTGTTATTTAATGTCAAAGCTTTTAACGTGATGTAAACACAATCTTTGCAATTAGATTCGACATGAGATGGATGCTTCCAGAAGGAGTTGGTAGTCGAGATATCTTGAAAATATTTTATTGGAATTGTTTTGGAAATGAATTCAATATATTGCTCCGTTTTTGTGTCAATTGTTGGTTGTCTCTTCTTAAGTGAACTAAGCACATTTATTTTCAATGACGAAATTTGCAATGGAATCAGTGGTATTGCGAAATTAGGCTGATGTAACAAAAATATAATCGCAGTTTTAGAAATACTGGTTCTGTCTAATCAATAAGTGGTGCGCAGTGAAAACCTGCTCAACACATAATATATTTACACTTCATCTGATGCAGTGTACTTTGGGCTAGTAATCAGCAGGCTATATGTTTCATACAAAAAAGGCCCCAACTTTTCAATTCATCTATGCCGACCATATACTATTAATATTTGCTCAACATTCATCAAACAGTTTGACTTTTGTACACGTATACAGGGACAGGATTCAACCTTTTGCTCTTCGTTTTAAACACGCTACAGTGTTTTATATGCTGTAGCTATATTTAACATATAATACCAAATTTAGGTTGCTATAAATTAGCAAAGACAACTATGTGAGCATCAGCACACTAACTGGTGCAATATTTTCTTTTAGTTTACAATAACCCATATGAATTTATCGTAAGAATTGCTTAACTTTTGTGAATACTGATAAAATTATATTGGATTATTCATCACATAACAAACAAAATCATTGTGAAGTCTATTTCTTTCTTCACGCAGCAATAACTCCCTCCATTTGATATTATACAGAACGCCAACGACATTAATTCAAATCTAAGAGTAATTTATTGCATAATAATTCACATTCAGTCAGGTTAAGACGCAGTCTATATCATGTCATGTGAAGTAATGATGTTAGATCCAAGAAAGTAGGGTAATTCTTCATGGCAATTTACCTTCGTCATTCGAAATACTCACTGATGGTTTTGAAGTCTATGTAAAATATGCATGAGTATATTTTGCGAATCTAGTACATAACTGAATAGTTTTAACTACAAGAATTAGAGAAAATATGATGTGTTTTGATGAACATAAGCTGAGACAGCCCTCTGATGCAACCAAGCAGCAATGTGGTTAAGTGTGCTTACCAGTCAAATACTCATTTTCAAAACGTTTCGTGAATGCCTTCACATATCCGGGAGGCTTCGTGTAATTCAAACATTATGGAATGTTGTATTATTACTGATTTAACCGGTTTTTATTGTAACAGAAAAACCTTACGTTGTCGGTGGTAAGTCATTGTGATTACCTGAATGCATGACGTTCATACTAGATATATGTCTAAGTGAAACTGTAAGATTGTTAGCATATATAATACACCCGTATCTGCTTGGAAACCATTCAATTAAACGAATGACACATAGAGCGGTTTGCTCAATGTTGAGAAAGCGGATGAAACAAGTCATTGTATTATGAAGCTAATGATTCTTATTTGGTACTGGAAGCGAGCTGCTCTCTATAGAAGTTTCACTCGGAACTTTCAGATGCTAAGTGCGAATAAGTTCAAGAGTCTCCGGATATAGTAATATATTTGTGGAAAGCCGTCAGTGATTTGCTGGTTACTGAAGGAGACATTTTGCGAAGCAAGCCTTCTGCCTCAAAAAGAAACCCTTCATTCTATTTCATGTGAGTTTGAAGAAGTGCGAATTCTCTGTATTCACTTGATGGAATTGGATTCTTATGTCTGCGACCATTGGCCAGTCCATTTCTTATGCATTCAGATTTGGTCCTAAATGAATTGGTGAATCCTCAATGATATTGAAGCTATGAGTATCTGAGATAATACTTGCGTGTCTGACATACCACTATAATTTATCTTTATAATATATGACGCCTGTAAGCGGACGTCTTGCAATTGTTTAAGCGAAGTAAACTGCCAGTCACACTGTGATATTTACGTGGTGGTATTGAATTCATGCTTCTGCATCCATTAACTGTCTCACTTCATCTGCGCTCACATTTTTGTTGTTGGAATAGATGATTTTAAAATAAACTGTTACCTGGGAATCCCCAACATTTCGAGATGCGTTAGAAGTACTGACAATAAGACTTGTTGTAGTCATCGTGGATATCTCTCATATTTTCATATGCCAGAACCCGTTTTCGATATTCAGATTATTAATATCCAATAAAATTTCTCTGTGTGATATTTCAATACAAAAGGAAAGTACTCAGAACATATGAAAATCTAGAATAAACTAGGCTGCATAGTTATCATGTAATTCAGTATGAATTATTAATACTGAACCGGTTGGTGATATGATAGATGGTTGGTCAGGAGTCAACGGTAAGTCAATGTGATCACCTTTTTAAATACTGTTCATACAATATCCATGCATAACTGCTTTTGTACCATTTTTTCATTATTTTACAAACTTCAAACTCTGGAGAACCTATATTCTGAACAAATCAATACATGGAAACAAGATAAGGTGGAAGAAGTATCAACGTATCAGAGATAATGCTCGTTACTTGAGTTTTGAGCCACAGTAAATGCAAATGTCAGTTTCTGTGATTTTGTGAATGTATTTGAACAGACGGAAACGTCTCTTGACGTTGATCTAACATTTGAAGATCAAGGCACATGGCAAGTGAAGAAAAATTATCACTGACTATATGATTTTTATGATGAAATATATGATCAATTTATACCTGATCACCACAAACCCATCATGTATCCATGACAATAACAAATATCTTCGCTATATTTCCTAACGCTTGCAAGGAGTTTAAAATGAAATCTTAGTTGCTAATGTCGATGTCGAAACACTCAACATGAATACCTTGTGTGACATTTCGAATCTTCGCTACTGTCGGACCAACATTGGTGTACTGAAGAATGTAGGCTTAATGGACGTAGAACCATAATAACTCAAAACTGTTTCAGTGATTCATACTGACGTTCTTTAGTAATCGTGTAATAGTATTTCGTCATCATTTTACGATTTTCTTTTAAGTCCTGTTTCGCCATTCTCATTCATGGTTTACTGTATCTGGCCTGCTATTATTATTGCACATGTTGCTAAACGTGAAACGCAAAGTTCTCGATTTCGAAACATTTTTGAGGCTGATGTTTAAGAAAATAGAGTTGATTCTCTATGACTGGAATTTTATTCTTTCACGTGATTATTTTAGATACAGACAACGAAGTAGGAATGTGAGTTTATCTCCTTGTTATTATTTTAGTATATTTTTGTCGCCTGATGATAGGATGGTTTACAGTAAAGTCAGTATAAAGCAAAATAAGAGGAAGGATTGCTATTGATTGTTTGTAACGAATAAGCGAGTGCTTGGACTTTTCGGTGGAAATGTGTTGGCAATGTGTTTCTGATTTAATGAATGGATCGTCCTTTTTAATAGGACCATGCAACTTTACTAAATATTCAATATTTGAATTCCCTGGATTCACTGGTCATAAAACGCGAATAGTACGAACATGTGTAAGTTGTAAGCAGCTACAAATAAACCAACGAAATAACTGATGACCTTATAATATTCTGCGCAAACATTTGCTTTTACTTCGTTTTAAATCATAAGAAGAAGTAAATGCATGTAATGGTGCAATAATGCCTGATTATACCAATTATCCAATTTGCAAATATTTGTCAGGACGATGGTGGGAAGTTTTCAACCGGATGATACTTGGGATTTGTGAAAGTCAGACCTATGAAACTCTCTTTGAAACAACAGTAACCTGAACTCATTATATCCCTATCAGAGTTAAGTTGATTATTGAAATATTTCTCTAGGTGTATTTGCAAATATGTAGTAGAATTAGTCAAAGCTGATTGTAATTCTGAAGTGTCAAACAGCTGTTACTTGGATAATTCAGTCACATTTGTAGGTTATATGTCTCACTGGAGTAATCAGAAGAATATTGCTGAGGAAAATATTCAACGACCACAAGAATATGAGGAAAAATTTCAAAGGTTCTCATTTCAGGAGTTATTCGTGTGTGTCAAGAACTTTTACGGCTAAGAGTAAAAAAGGAATTCTAAATCATCATTGAGGATTCTGGAGCGGGCTTTATTTGCACCCGTTATCATTTCAACAGAGAGATAATATTTGAGGCAACATTTTTTTCCGTATATCAGAACATGAATATATTTGTCGTTTCCTGCATCTGTTGTGGCTAGGATGGTTTTCTAATCAAGAATTCTTTACGTATGTGTAAATCCTAAATTGACTCTCTATTTTTTCTCTGAATACGTTCAGCTGTTTTGATCATTGCTAACTTTACATTCGCAGATGAACTTTGAGTGAATATAAAATGCTCTTATGCAAAATGAATACTTAAGATTTTCACTGGCATGTGTCGTCTTTCACATTTAAACAGTGTTTCGCATCTATTATTCATTTAAAAAGCTTTGTCATGTTTCATGTCTAAAGTGACTAACGTGTACCTTTCAATAAATATGTGTGATTAATCATCGATCAACTTTGAGAATGCGATCTTCTTTGAAGCTGTTACATTTGATTCTTCTGAATCTATGAAACACGTGACATTTCGTCTGAAAAAAATTAATACGTCAAACGTAATCCACTGTGGGACTTTGCATGATATAATGCTACGCAGTGTGATCTGAAGAATGTGAATCGATACCGACGAAAAGAAAACTATGACAGTGACACATGAAACAAATAATTATTCGTAAATAGATTCAAGTGGTATCACATACATATCATAGCTGAATGATTTTCGATAGGCAACTTTGTATTTTATTCAACTGAATTTGAGATTTTCCCGTCGACTGATTGACCCGAAGTGCTCCGTCTCAGGTTGACATGTCAGTTTTTGTGCGGATGCTTCGACGATGTCTGGGCCTTTTTAATTAGCATTTAATATGTCGATGGTGACTAGCACTGGAATCCAGGATGCTCATTTCGTCTCTGAGAAATACATTTACATCCAGAACACGCATCCCAAATGGGACGAAATGCGCATCCTGGATTCCACTGTTAGTCACCATCCACCAATTAAACTTTTTATTTTATTAAATTCGCTATCTTGCGGAGACACAACACCATCCCCATCTAATGATCAATATCATTCCTTTATTTACTATCACACAATCTCATCAGCTTTAAACTTCATTCTCTCTGAGATGGTCACTTCATGCTAGTTAAACGGGTTCGCTGAAGCAATATTCCGTACTGGAGGAAAACCTACATGCTGACCAGAGACTAGGGGTGAGTTCTATTCTGAGGATTCAAGTCGCGAACATCTTCTGAACGTTCGCGGATAGTTGAGAAGTGATGACATAAAATGTATGCATCTACTAACTAAGTTAGATTATATTCACCTAAGTTATTTCATCGATGAAATCACAAATATCAATCTCTCCATGGCACCAACTGCTGAGCAACAACAAACATTTCAAATAATCATGATCAGTATTGAAATGTGCGTGGTGTCAGAATTTTATTGTCTCATTTCAAATTGAGGTAGGTAACTAATTTAGAAGTTGATATCAGTTGTCAGAGACAAGTTTAACTCCAGAAGCAAATTTATTGCCATCAAACATTTAATTGCGCATTTTGCAAGTTTGTCCGTTGCACATTGGTTAGGACGCTCGCCGACCATGCAAATGTCCCGGGATTCGATTCCCGGCCGATACACACCCGATATCAATGGTTGGCTTGCCAAATTCGGGTTACCGTTACCACTTGGTGAAAGGTCCATACTAGTACCAAAATACTGTGTATGCTAAAACTAAAATGAAGTCGAATCCTTAAATAGAGAAAATGTAATAAATACAAATTTGTTGAGGAAAATTCCAAAAACGACTTCTTTTTATTCAGGTTTATTATCCAGTTCATTGAGATTAGTTATATTGTGTTACTCTGGTAGTATGTAACGCTACCACTTAATTGATACTGGATAATATGCTACCATATAAAAGCATTTGATATAATCTTCTAAGGAAAGTACTCTTTCATTGAATTTCAGTGATTTACGCTTCCTAAATGCATGGAATTGAAATAATTTTTGACAATATTTGATGTCCAATGAGAACGTTGTTCCAGGAAACAATTCGATTGCTAGCGAAAGAAACATTCTCTTACCGTAAAATTGCATTCATGATGACATTTTAAAAATCGCTGATTACGTGACAGGCGTGAATATGCGACGATATATTCAGCACATAGAAATTAAGCAAAGTGTTAGGAAAACTGATTCGTAACTTCCCACATCTGTGACATCTGTATAGTTTTATGACAGAAGGCACAAACGATTATTATTCTGCATTTTATGCCTTGAATACATAATTGAAGCAAATAATCATAAAACTTTTCCCAACATTATCCTTAAACCCAGATGATTACAATTTGCTGGATGAATGTGGCATATTCCTAAAACAAATGAAATGGAATAACAGTGGAAACATATGTGGCGGAAACTTAGACGATCTGAATTGACATATATAACGAGGTATTCACTGTGGTGGAAAATTAACCTAATGTCAATCTGTGCTGGCATTCAGCGTAAAACGTTGACTAAAATAACCTGGATGGAACTTTTGTTTTCATATTGCACTCAAGAATTCAGCACTGCATCTACTTATTTGTAAAATGATCACCCTTGATAATGAAATATTGTGTGTTGCTTTCGCCGACATAAAAGAGTAGATATTTGACACAGTGACACAGTTGATTTCAGTGATTTCATTCATTGTAGATAACATTCATTATAGATTGACATCGTGATACAGAATCAGTAGTTGGATTGTCGATTAAACTGATGCGTCATGACATATACAGCAAAATATGTTCCCATATTTATTGATGAAAAAAGTGAGGTATCAAACCTGTTATTTCATTTTGTTAACTTTATAAGAGTTGAAACTTTTGTTATATCGTTTTAAAGATCAGGAAATCAAAGGCTTTAATTCAGCGGATCATACAAAGTTTGAATCCAAATTGCGATGCTTAAAGCTTTCCTTGAATTTAATATGTCAATACCGATTACCTAGAAATTCAAGTTCGGAATTATTTCCAATGGGTTTTCATTAACCAACTGTTGCTGGAAGAGATGACATAGTTATTTCACACCTGAAATTCAACTGACGCTTATGCAACTGATGCAACTGTCACTTGACAATTATCTCAGCGAGTGTATAATATATCCACATTTATTTCGACACAATTTGAGGTTATTGTGATTTGATTGGTTAGTTGTCTGAATTTCAGTCTCTCCGGAATGGCGCAATTTATTATTTTGCTCAGAGTAAAGATAATCGTAATCCTTTGACAGTGCTTGTCAAGGCATAAGTAACCATGAATTGTTGGTTTTGCAGAACACGGGAAGTACTCCTTACTCTCAAGTATTTCACAACAGTGGCTTGAGGATATTTGCTGATGTCTTCAGATCCACTCTCAGTGATCTTGAAGGAATTCCGTCCTTAGCTGTTGCCTTTTTTAACTCCAGTTGCTTAATTAAATGTGAGACCTCAGTTTTTGATGGAGAATTGTCGTTCATTGAACATTCAGTGGCTATTTTATGGACGCTTAATAGGCGGTCGTCTCTTCAGGTGTCCTTTGAAGTGAAGTGTTTCTCCTCTTTGGTGATTAACTTCTCCTTGATAAATTTGTTGATATGATTTGTGTTGATCAGATTCTGTGTGATGACCTGGTCAGTTGATTTTCTCAACTGCAGACACTTCCACTTTCAGTATTATATTTAAACAAGTATAACACGGTGTGACTGCTATTTCTGTGATGATATCATAGGTATTCAAACTCAAAGGTCTAAGCACACCTATACATTTAAGTATGAATTTTTATTCCACTATTATTCGGTATAATGTAAAATGCACTATTAACCAATTCAATCATTACGATATATAACTGCAAAAGCAGGTTGCCCTCAAATGAACTGTTATACAATGCTTTTACCTGAATACTTTGTCTCTTCAGAAATCTTTTTAGGATTGCCACCAAATATCGGTCTAAGAAAACGTGTCTTTCAACCTAGAATGGATTATTCCATGTCTCAGCTATTAATATGTAAAGACATGAATATCTAATGCTGAGGTGTACTTCACTAGGTGGATTATTTATCTGACTGACAAGTGTCGAACAGTAAAATTCAAAATGATAAGATCATATTTCTTGAGGATGAATATATGCACTAGTTGAAGGAACATATTTGT